TTTTTATTTTTGTATTTATATTTTTATTTAGATTGATAATTTATATATTTAATGTGGCGATTTTAGTTGAGTGGACATTATTAGAATTTAATTCTATTAATATAGAAATTATTTTTTAATTGATTGAATTTCTTTATTGTATTTCCCCTGTGCGCCACATATGCAGTATATGCATGCATGTATAATAATAACAACTTCATTGAGAATGCGAAAGAAAAGTATTATAGTTAGATATGCAGTCAAATCTCGATAGCTCGAATCTCAAGGGACGAGCTATAAAAATCTTCGGGTTATAGAAGCTTCGATTTATCGAAGTTCCAGTAAAAGAGAGTTAACGTATGAAAATTCGACCTATGGCAGCTTTGTAAGAGAGTATATTTTCCGATTAGAATGGCTTTCAAAGGAAAAAATTTTGAGTGGTTTTCGACTGTATTAATAGGAGCAGATACGTATTTCAACAAATAGATTAAAAAGCGAGAAGGTAAGGTCCCTCGAAAGTTGCGCGCTCTGCCTTTCGATCGGTGTTCGAACTGACAAAGTTTGCACAACACCAAACTTGGATAATTTGAACAAAACTTTGTGAAGGTATAAAGTGGCTTGAAACTTGAATAACGATGAGTTTCGTTTTGATGCCTTTTTTCATGTACTTTAAAAATGTAATGTAAAATCCAAAAATGTTCGAGTATCAAAAACGTTGTCGCTATTTTGATAATCCTAAATTAAATAAAGTATAAATAATATAATAATTAATATACATGTTTGAAGCTAAATAAACTTTGGGAGAAAAATATTTAAAATTACTAAAAATAAGAAGAAAATGCACCTAACTTTGTACAACGTATGTTAAAAAAAGCGTTGTCGCTTTTCGACACCTATTTCGATAATCCTAAATTATATAAAGTATATATAAATAATATAATAATTAATATACATGTTTAAAGTTAAATAAGCTAAATAAACTTTGGGGAAAAAATATTTAAAATTACTAAAATAAAGAGAAAATGCACTTAACTTTGTATAACGTATATTAATGAAAAAAATGTGTGGTTTATTGTGTTTAAAATCTGGACATTCCGTAAATTATGTGTATAGCAATAGAGCTGAAGTAAAAGGTATTTAAAATAATTACGAGAAAATGAATGAGGATTTGTATTATACAAAGTATATTTAAGATTAAAAAAAGATTCATTATGATTTATCGGGTGGCGTGTTGAAAATCTGGGCGCTGCATAAATTATTATGCATAATGGCAAAACTGAATTATGCAAAGCGGTAGAATTATAAAAGGTACTTCCTAACTTCGTGTAATTGAGTGAACTGTAATCTACATCGCAGCACATTCTTCATTGAGTCTTCATTCTTTCAAGCTGCATTTAAAATTTTTTGCTTCTTAACGGTCGCAAAGAGCGAAATAATTTACTGGAACTTTTCCACTTTATCGAAGACTCTATCTCCATTTAAACTTAATGGTTAATCCCGAGTTAAAGCGTTGTGTTCTTCTTTTGAATAGATCGGACTGTGAAATGCGACGAATGCTTCTCGCAAAGATCTCCGAGTGTGTTTAAATCATTTCACCTTTAATATAACTGAAAGGGATTTATGTGTGTGAAAACTGTGATTCAAGTTAAATTAATAAAACAATAGTCAATGCGTGTCGGATTTAGCGTGTGCCAAGCAGCACACACACACACACACACACACACACACCTGTCTCTTATACACATCTCTG